AAATAAATAAATACGATATTTGGATTTTTTTCCATAAATAAAACACTTTGACTTGAAAGTTTAATACATTTTGGACCCAGAGACACAACAACTGAGGGCAGCCTGTGTCCACCATGCTGGCTCAGGCAGTCATGGGAGACCCTGGAGAAAATGTAAGGAGTGCAGGGCACCACAGTCCCATGGGCAGAGCAGCCCTAAGTGATGCACAGCCTAGAGGAGCTAGCCACATCCTGGACACCCTACCTTGGATGAGGAGGGATGACTGAGGAGAGGAGCGGGCAGAAGAGAGACCATTCCAGCCCCCATCCCCTTCCCCCAGCCCTCTGCATATGAGGCTGTCTTTAGCCACTCCCTCCCGTGGCCCGGGGTCATGACAATGTTTCCTCGGTCCCCTTAAGTTAAAGTCTTTACATGTCTTCCTTGCTTAACAGCTGCTTGCGGGGGAGTGTCAAGGGTGGCTACCTTGATAGCACGGTACACTAATTTTGGAGTTGAAGGGACCTCTGAGGTCATTTAGTCCATTCCCCTGCCTTCAGGCAGTATGGAATGAGCCCAGCTGGGCAAGCCTTTATCTTGTTTTGAGGACTTCCGAAGGCAGGCACTCCACACCCTTCCCCAGACACTCATTCTGATGTCTAAACATTTCTTGCCAGGAAGTCCTTCCTCATGTCTAATCCTAACTCCCCATGGGATGAGCTTCTACCCTGTGGTTCTCGTAGGTCTGGTTGGAGGCTGTTTCCACCTTCCCTTTATCCAGGTCAGGAACCACCAACGACTTGGTCAAAGTCCTCACTATGTACAAGTCTCAATCACTCTTCAGCCTCAGTTTCTTCCTCTGTAAAACGAGGCTAGCAATGCTCAAAAGGTAAGAAACAGGGTCCTATGTGTAGAAAGGCATAAAACATGCTCCTGTGGGAAGGCTGTCGTTTTTTATCAGTTTGCAATGCTGGGGTTGGAACCCAGGGCTCTCTGCACATGCCAGGCAAGCCCTCTGCCACTGAGTAACACTCCAGCCCGCCCCTGACCCCGTTATCATTATGTCCGAGTATATATTTAATTTTATATGTAAGTGCAAGTCTGAATGTATGTATGTGCACCACATGTATGTAGGAGCCCACGGGAGTCAGAGAGGAATCTAATCCCCTGGAACTGGGGTTACAGATGGTTGGGGACCCCCATGTGGGTGTTGGGAACCAAATTCAGGTCCTCTGCAAGAGCAGCCAGTGCTCTTAACCACTGAGCCAACTTGCCAGCCCTCCTGTCATTATTACCAAGTGTTAACCAGGTCTCCTGGCTGTGCCATTATATATGACCATTTCCAATGTAACAGTATATGAAATAATTTCATTTTATTGATTTTTGTCTTTTTCAAGACAGCGTTTCTCTGTGTAGCCCTGACTGTCCTGGAACTACCTCTGTAGACCAGGCTATCCTCGAACACACAGAGATCTGCCTACCTCTGCCTCTGGAGTACTGGGATTAGAGGCTCGTGGCCACCATACCCAGCTGAAATAATTTTAAACAAGACAAGAGCAGGGCTGGTAAGATGGCTTAGAGAGGTGACAGTGGATGCCACCAAGCCTGATGATGACCTGAGTTCTGTCCTGAGGATTTACATGGTGGAAGGAGAGAACCAACCCTAAGGTTGTCCTCTGATCTCCACATGAACACTGTGGTGTGGGTGTGTGTGTGTGTGTGTGATGTATGTCTGTGTACCACATACATGCCTGGTCCCTGTAGAGGCCAGAGAGGACATTGGATTCCCTGGAACTTATAGATAGTTGTGAGCTGCTATGTGGGTGCTGGGAGTCAAATCCAGGTCCTCTGGAAGAACAGTCAATACTCTTAATCTCTGAGCCATCTCTCCAGCCCTCAAATTAAAATGTAGTGCATTTAGGAAAAAATAAAACCAAACATTAATTCTAGGTTTCAAAAACATCATAGCTGGGCGGTGATGGCAAACACCTTTAATCCTAGCACTCTGAGGCAGAGGCAGGCAGATCTCTGTGAGTTCAAGGCCAGCCTGGTCTACAAAGTGAGTTCCAGGACAGCCAGGACTACACAGAGAGACCCTACCTACCTACCCATCCATCCATCCATCCATTCATCTAATTGCTTATAGCCAGGTCAACTTACAACAAAATTTAGCATTGTTTTTGTTTGTTTGTTTTGTTTTTGAGGCAGGGTTTCTGGTTTTTTTTGTTTGTTTGCTTGTTTGTTTTTTTGTTTTTCGGAGACAGGGTTTCTCTGTGTAGTTTTGGTGCCTGTCCTAGATCTGTAGACCAGGCTAGCCTCGAACTCACAGAGATCCTCTTGCCTTTGCCTCCCGAGTGCTGGGATTAAAGGCATGCACCACCACTGCCCGGCAGCATTGTTTTTAAGTAGTGCAGTTGCTAGAGCCCCACACGCCCGAAGCCCTAGGTTGGGTGCCCTTCCTGCTCTGTATAAACCAGGCATGGTATCATAGCACTGGGTGGGGGGTGGAGGTGGGAGGGTCTGGAGCTCAAGGTCATCCTTTGACTAGATAGTTAGTTTGAGACCAGCCTGAACTATATGAGACCCGGGTGAAATCAACCAATCATGGAGTAACCAATGCTGCAGACAGCCCCCAGCTAGGGCAGAAATCAGGAAGGTGTCTGAGAAAATGCTCACCGTAGGAGAACAACCCAGTTAGAGAATGAGAGTTCAAGTCTCGGAGGAGGGGAGCATCAGGACAATGTGGGGGACTGAACAGATTGCATCCAGCCTGCAAATGCAATCCTCTCTGGCTTTGAGAACAATCTCTCTCCATCCTTCCCCACCCCCACCCCCAAGCTTGGCAGTTTGGAGTTCCACCAAAGCATTGAACATGCAGGGCCAAGTGTCCTATTTATGGCCTGGGAGGCCTGAAGTCTCCTCCCCCACACTAGAGGCAAGTAGAGAACTCCACCCCTGCCTTGGATCCACCTGGAGTGTCACTCAGGAGTCGCCTCTTAGCCAGTGACAGAAACTCACAACTTCTCAAGCAGATTGCCTCTGCTCCTCTCAGTATGGGAGTTGAAGAGGCCTTGCAGAGAAAAAGGTCCCTGAGTCCCTTATGTGCTAGGGCCCTAGACGGGAGGCAGGGACACATGGGAGTGAAAGAAGCCATGTCCTCCAGGGACGCCTACAGGCACACAGTCACAGCCATCCTGTTTCAATAGTGCTAGCCCGAGACCAGAGAGGGCTTGAGGAAAATGGCTACATCCGTTCTTAGCCTCCCAGGACCAACCAGGCCCTTCCACTGGAACAGCAGAAGAGGATGAACTCCTAGGGCTGCAGACCAACAGAGAGGCAGGATTCTCTCTACCTCACTCACCATGGGGTCAGTATCCCAGCATCCTCAGCGAGGACAGGGACAGAGCTCCCCTTGACAAGAAGCTACGACAAGAAATTACAGGCATCCACAACCCTGCCAGGGCCAAATGCCAGGCCCCAGGGCCCAAGGGTAAGCCATTTTGCCAACCTTCCTCATCTGTGAGCTAAAGACAATGAACCTGGTCACCTTCCTTCATCCTGGGAAGAGGGTCAGGTTAATGAATGCCCAGCACCGGACATGACTCTATGTAAGGCCAGTGCAAGATGCCTTAAGGCCAATGGCCTTGCTGACCCCTGGTTTTCTCTTCCTGGCCCAGGACTGAGGGCAGCATGAGACCCACAATCTTGTCCCCTCCCTGCCCTGGGTGGGTCTTGGCTGCCACATCCTGATCTGCCCGGTACGGTAAGCAACTGCTTCAGTGAGATGGCCACTTGTGTCAGCCTGGGTGGCTGTGTCCTGTGTCTGCTTTGTTGCTCCACACCAGGCTTCTTAGGGTATTTTAAATATATTTTTATTTGTTTCTATGCATGTCAGTGCTTTGCCTGCGTGTATTTATGTGTACCATGTGCATCATGCCCGGTGCCCAGAGATCAAAAGAGAGAGTTGGGCCGGGCGGTGGTGGCGCACGCCTTTAATCCCAGCACTCGGGAGGCAGAGCCAGGTGGATCTCTGTGAGTTCGAGGCCAGCCTGGGCTACCAAGCGAGTCCCAGGAAAGGCGCAAAGCTACACAGAGAAACCCTGTCTCGAAAAACGAAAAAAAAAAAAAAAGAGAGTTGGATACCCTGGAACTGGAATTATAGGTGACGGAACCACCCGCGTGGGTGCGGGAAACCAAACCAGAGTCCCTGAAAGAACAAGTGTCCTCCACCCCCACCCACATTTTTGACAGGGTCTCTCTATGTAGTCCTGGCTGCCCTGGAGCTCACTATGCAGACCAGGCTGGCCTTGAACTCACAAATATCCACCTACCTCTACCTCCCAGGTGCTGGGATTAAAAATGTGAACCACTACACCCGGCAAGAATTTTCGAGCAGCTCCAGCCCTGGTCCATTCTCTGAATTTAAAATAAATATAAAATAATTTTTGTACTGTTTATTAATTGCGGGAAGCAAGCTGCCAAGCATGCTTATGGAGGTCAGAGGACAACTTGTGGGAGTCTGTTCTTCCCGAAATGGAACTCAGTTTGTCAGGTTTGATAGCAAGCATCTTTATTTATCTTGTTTTCAGAAGGCTCTGCCTGAGGATGCCGGGACCACAGAGCTCCAAGGTCATCAGGGCAGAGAACCCTGTCCACGCAGGTCCTGGGTGCCAGGAGTACAACATCTTCCTCAATTGTTCCAGGAGGAAGACCTGGAAAGCTGAGTACCTCCTCCAGGCAGCCTGCTCTGATCAGCCTTGGGCATAGAGGCTCAACCGCAGTTGGCATTTCTCGAGGGCTTGTGTTTTAGTAGGCCCCCAACTTCCATTTCCCCATCCATCCGACAGTAGAGCATGTGACCACTGTGTGGCGGGTCCTGGGAAGAGCAGGCTCTAGGCCCAATGAGGGAAACCAGATTCAGCTCTCTGTTGCTGTAGCAACCACATCTCCCTGAGAGCTTTCTCATTGGTCACTGAAGTTGACACCCTCTGCCATCAGGAGGAACCAATCAAAAAACAGACTACGTAAGACCCAGCTGGGTGCGGGTCTGCTCCCGCAAGCTAACTCTAAGGCGGCTTTCAGTGGGGTCCTGGAGCTCGGGGGCGGCATCTCGCGGGATATTCCCCACGGTGAGCGGGGTGCAGGGGATGGGTAGGAGTCTGGATTTCTTCCCAGCAACCTAAACGGATAAATGAGGCTGAGCAGCTCCAAGGTTGGAGAGCCGCGGGTCAGGCGAGGAGGGAGAGTGTAAAGGAAGGTGGTGAGGGTCTCACTAACCCCGGTGACTGGTTCGAATCTTTATGCCCTCGCCTCTGTGTGACTTTTTTACAGCTTCCTTTTCTCTCTGTGTCTCCCAGGGGCGAAGGAGGAGTCAACACCTGTTATCTCGTGTTAATCCTGGGCATGAACATCCTAAGAATGTTTTTAGCTCCCGCAACACGATCCGGCAGTGGAGGGACGCTCCCTTCACCCACATTATACATGAAGACACTGAGGCTCAAGGTGAGCCCTGTGTCCAGGCGGTAGTTGGTGGGTATCTGGGGGGAGGCAAGCAATGCCATTCCCAGCATTGACCCCACCCCACCCCGACCACAGGCGGCCTGACCGGAAGGATGGTTCGTGCCAAGACTGGTGGTTTCCTTTAGTCAAACTGCGTCAGACTCTCTCTAGGGGGTTAACCGACAGGAACTGGTGGCCCAGTCTTGGCTATGTGAAAGATCAAAAAGGAGACGCCAGCTTTCTCGGCAAAGTTCCTTTGTCAGACAGATGGAAAAGATAAAGCCGTTCTTTCGAGAAGGGAGAGTGTAACTTCCCCACGTCCTTGAGCTCACACATGTGCCCCGGGGAGAGGTTGAGCCATACGCCTCTGCTTGGGGTGAACCCTGGACTCGACATTGGACAGGACCCCACTTTCCTTAGCTGTAAAGTGCATTTGATTACTTGTGGGGCATGTGTGGTTCATGTCTGTAATCCCAGCACTTGGGAGGCAGAGGAAGGGAGACTGCCACAAGTTCAAGTCCAGCCTGATCTACACAGCAAGTTCCAGGACAGTTAGGGACACAGAGCAAGTCTCACAAATCAAAGGAAAAAAGGTGAGGAGCATGAAGATTAATCCTAAGGGCCAGAGGGATAGCTTGTTGGTGGTGAGCTTGCCTAGCACATTCAAGACCCTGGACCCCATCCCCAGCCCTGTAACTAACTAAATAAGTTGGTCAATTAATTAAATCAGCTGGGGATGTAGTTCAGTTGGTAGAGTGTACTTGCCACGCATGCATGAATTTGAATCCAATGCCTGGATTCGAACCCCACAACGTAAAACTAGTTGTGGTAATAAGTGGAGGGGCTACCCACCACCCCCACATTTCCCCAGAGTACTCTTGAGTAGAAGCAGCAGGAAATATTAGAAGTATAGAGGGGAGATAAAAAGATAGAAAATACAAGATAGCCTCGAGAGGGCCTGGAACCTATTCCAAATAGGCCCCAACTGTCTCTGCCCCAGGGTATTTATAGGAATGCCAAGGGGTGGAGCAAAAGACCTCCCCCCCCCCCCCAGCACAGCCAAGTGCAGACCTTCTCAGATACCTGCACTCAGGCCCGTGGTCCAATCATCCCTTCTATGCAGACCTGCTGGGTAAAGCCACTAGGAAACCTGAACATGGTCTCCCACAGTAATGCATGCCTGTAACCTCAGCACAGGAGCTCAAGGACATCCTCGGCTACATAGAATTTGCAGTCAGCTAGGGCTACATAAGACGATCTTGCCCGGTGGTGGGGGCACAAGCCTTTAATACCAGCACTAGGGAGGCAGAGGCAGGCAGATCTCTGAGCTCAAGGCCAGCCTGGTCTACATAGCCAGTTCCAGGACAACTAGGGCTGTTACACAGAGAAACCCTGTCTTGAAAGAACAAAAACAAACAACAGACCCTGTCTCAGTCATCGATATCATCCACATTATCATTATCATCACAACACACACAATGTAGCAGTACATGAAATAATTTTATTTTGTTGATTTTTATTTTCATTTTCAAGACTGGGTTCCTCTGTGTAACAGCCCTGGCTGTCATGGAACTAGCTCTGTAAACAAGGCTGGTCTTGAACTCACAGAGATCCACCTGCCTCTGCCTCCGGAGTTCTGGGATTAATGTGCCACCTCTGCCCGACTACACTCACAGGTTTCTTGGTGTGGCCTATAATGTTCAATGGTCAGGCAGGATGCTCAGCTGAACCCCACCAGAGCCAGAGAAGCTTCTACCCAGAGGTCTTTGGGCTTCACTTCCTGGAGACAGTTCTCCTTGCTAAACAGGGAGGCCCCAGCATGTGTCAGGCTGGCAGGTTTAGTGCTGGGTTCTGATCAACCTTTTTGACAGTCCCAAACAGCCCTTCCTTTCTCCAGGAAAGATGAAAAAAAAAAAAAAAAAAAAAGCCCCTGGACACTCCCCGCCCATTTTGCAGACTAGGAGGCTGTGGTTCAGAGAAGTTAAGACAGGTCACGGGCTGGATTGCGTGGCAAGATGGGATGTAAATGTCAAAAAGACTGACTCAACAGACTCAGCACTTGTCCTTAATGGGAGCTGGCCTGGCACCAAAAACCTGGAGGTGAAGCTCGTCACCCCTACCTCCAGTCCCCAGCTCTTCTTTCTGTTCCCACTACAGTCCACACCTCCATTGCGGCTCCTCTTCTTGCCTGGAGAGCATCAAAGCCTTCCAGAGCTGAGCCTAGCTATTGCCTACAGGCCTTGGAAGGTTCCCCCATGGTTGGTTACTGTTAGAGCTATCCTGGGAGCCAGCTGCTTCCTAGCTTCCAAGCAGAAGGGTGAATATTCAGTGTCTCAAACTGCTCTCCTTTTTCTCTTTGTCTCTGCAGCAAAGTGGAATTTCTATAGCAGCCAGCTACTGGGATTTCCCAGGTCCCTTACAAACCTTACATATATCCTTGTCTGCCTGTATCTCTGAAAACTCTGTCATTAGGCAGATAAGATTAAATAGTCTCTAAGATAATATAGCAGATTTATTCTTGCTGTATAGTCCAGGCCGGCCTCTAAACAAACTATGTAACTTAGGCTGGTCTTGAACCTAAAGTGATTCCCTGCCTTAGTCTCCGACATGCCGAACTAGAATAGCAAATGTCGTTCTTTGACATTAGTGTGAAACACATTACAGAATCCGCAAGGGCAAGCTCTGTTATCACAAACACCATTTATTGTTTTCTTTTGTTTTTGTTTTGGTTTTGGTTTTTGTTTTGGTTTTGGTTTTTCGAGACAGGGTTTCTCTGTGTAGCTTTGCGCCTGTCCTGGAACTCACTGGGTAGCCCAGGCTGGCCTCGAACTCACAGAGATCCGCCTGGCTCTGCCTCCCGAGTGCTGGGATTAAAGGCGTGCGCCACCACCGCCCGGCTGTTTTTGTTTTTTTGAGACAGGATTTCTTTGTGTAGCCCTGGCTGTCCTGGAACTTGCTTTGTAGACCAGGCTGGCCTTGAACTCAGAGATCCACCTGCCTCTGCCTCCCGAGAGTTGGGATTAAACCACTTATTGTTTAGATATATGTCCTGAATTTATCCAAATCCCCCCAATGAGAGTGAGTGTGTGTGTGTATATGTGTGTGCGTGTGTGTGTATGTGTGCTCGCTGTCACTAGCCCTCAAAAGCTCCTCATGTATCATTCCATTTAATTCTCACAACTCCTGAGACGGATGCTTTCATTGTCCTTGTCTTACAGAGCAGGAAACTGAGGCCTGAGGAGATTAGGGGGCTTGCCAAAAGTCTCCAAACCACAAAGCAGAGACAAGAGGGCAGGAAGTCTGGTTCCAGACCCTACACAGCACCGATTAGTGTTTAGTGTACCGACTATACACAGCACTGATTAGTGTTTAGTGTACAGATGTAAACAGGGACACCGGCACCTCCTTCGGCTCATGCAGGAGGCTGCTCGACCACCCCATTGCACAGAGGGGAATGTGGAGGTGGCTAATGTTCAGATGTCTGGTGAGTGACAGCTTCAGGATTCCAGCCCAGCATTCCCATCTCAGACCATCTCAGCCTAGCCAGAGCCTAGAGTCGGCTCAGTGGGTGCTGGAGGCAGGGACAGCATGGCGGAGGAGCGGAAGCTGGGAGCTCCTGGGAACAAACTTTGACCTTTCCTTCCTTTTGTCTCGTCTTCTAACCTTCTCTCTCCTTTCTCATTAATTAAGCCATTGAGAACCCACAAAAGTAAAACCCAGGAAGACCAGAACAAATAATCATTCCCCCCATCCCCCCCACCCCCAGCCCCCGCCAAAAAGAGCTGACAGTCCCTAAACAAACAAGCCGGGAGTATAGCTCAGTGGTAGAGCAATTATCTAGACTATGTAAGGCTCTGGGTTCCACCCCCAACACTGCCCCAGCCCCTGTTTCTATTCTTGAGTGTGTGGGGTGGGAGCTGTGCTGCATGTTTTAACTGCCTACAGCTATTAAAGCCTTCCATTTCTTCCTTAGGAGACTGGGAGAGACTGACCCAAGGTCAACCCAAGGCTAACTCTAACCTCACTTCAGAGCTGAGCCTCTCAGCCAAGCTGGATGACCTCTAGCTGGAGATGCAGGGAGAGCCCAGTAGGTCCTTTCAGATTGGTGTGGGTGCACACACAGAGACACAAGCGCTGTACGGTCACATAAACACACACACACACACACACACACACACACACACACACACACACCACTGCCTCTAGCTCCTTGACTCAAGTCCCAGTTACAAGCGGCAGCCATGCTTGCTGCCTCTCAGCTTGCTTCCACCACCAGGAACCGAGCAGGGAAGGGAGTGCGGAAGGCCACCCTGAGGGCAGGGACAAAGACAGGCCGGCCAGCTTCAGGACCTGTGCATGGAAACTCCTTAGGCAACAGATAGCCGTGCAGACTGAGAAGGCAACTGAGCGCTTGAAAAGTCTCCTAGGATGTCTCAGAATGACTTTCTTGGGCCTCAGTTTCCTATTCTGTGAGCTGACCTGTCCCCAAGCTGGACCTGAAGCTTATTTGTGGGAAACTTCTTCGGGTCAGTTAAATGCCTACCCTCCCTGCCTTCTTGTGAAGTTCTTCCTGGATCTTTGCTGCCGAAGCAGAGACAAGGCTCTCTTAAGAGCTTGCCTGCAGCCAAATGTTAGAAATGCTCAAGGACCCACTCAGGAGCTGGTGGGATGGCTCCATGATAAAGCATGAGGATCAGAGTTCAGATCCCCCGAACCCACATGAAACCTGGGCAGGTATGGTGGCCATCCAGCACTTAGAAGGCAGAAACCGGGGATCTAGCTAGTCTGGGGCAAGTGGGCTAGCTAAACTGGCTGGAGCTGGTGAGCTCTGGGTTCACGGAGAGACTCTGTCTCTATAAAGTGGAAAGTGACCGGTGAAGATACCTGACATCCGCTTTGGATCTCCACACACATGTACACCCACACACATACGCATGCATGCATACCACATACACACATGAGGAGGGGTGCCTAACTAGATATTTTTATTATTATTTTCTTCTATCTGAGGTAAGGTCTCATGTATCCCAAACTGGTGCTGAATTCACTATGAAGGTGAGGGTGGCCTTGAACTTCTGATCTTCCTGCTTTCACCTCTCAGATGCTGTATTTACAGGCATGAGCCAACACCCACCAAGTCCAATTTTGATTTTTTTTATTAAATTGCATTAATTATTAGTGTCTGGGGGAGGGTATCACACCTCCCACGCCATGGCTGAGGACAACTTTTGGGAAGCTGGTTCTCTCCTTTGGTTCCAGGGACCAAGCTCAGGTAATACCCACTGAGACATCCCCACCAAAATGCTCTCCACCCACTTTGAGATCAGGTCCGTCTGTGAGATCCAAGCTAACCTCAAACCCAGGATCCTTCTGCCCCTGTGCCTTACCTTATTTTATTTTATATTTTTGAGATGGAATCTTGCTTTGTTGTCCTTGCGACTTTCAAACCCCTAGACTCAAGTAATCATCCTGCCTCAGCCAATGAGTAGCTGGGACTGACTCATCCAGGTCCTGGGAAGTCCATCATCCCACACAGCATCGACCACGCCCTCCTTGTATGCCATGAGCTGAGTCTAGGGGATAGGGCAGTGAACAGAAGAGCTCTGTCCTATGCTAGGAACACAATCCAGCAGAATGACTTAGAGCCAGCAGCCGGGCAGGGGGTTGCCTTGGCTCCCCAGTAGAGGACCTAGTGTGGCAAAGGCCTGGGTACGGAATAGAAATGAGGAAGCCTGGGCCCCTGAGCTCAGTGTACCTGGCTCTAGAGTACTGCTGATTCAAAGGAGAAGTCAGAGCTGCTGACCTTCCAAACTGCTCCATCTACCCAGGTGACTTTCGGACCCTGCCTGATGCTCTCAGTCAGGGATGCCAGCCCGTCTGGAGTTCCCTTGTCCTAGGTGGTTTCCAGCCCCACCCACTTTCCTGGAGCCCAGTTCATGACTCTTGCCAGGCGTGCCCCAGTGTCACTCTGAGTAACCCCAAGGACCAGGGTGACCTCACAGCTCTTGATTCAGATTTAGTCACTTTACTTCCTGCTCTGGCATCTGGGGGAGTGGCAGGTCCCCATCATGACTTCCTCTGTTGAACTGGCTCTATGTCACACAGGGGAAATGGTGGAGACCTAGAAGGGGACCCCTAGCCACTCAGATGAATTCACTCTGACAGCTCAGTAATGATCCTGACACTCCCCATTTCTAGTAGAAAAAGAGCCTGACCCGGGGAGGACAGCAGGTCCTCACCCATCATTCCACAGACTTCATGACATGCCTTTCTTTTTCTTCCCTTTCCACAGGAGAAAACTGACCTCAAAGAAATGATTTTTTTTTTAAGTGCTGAAAATCCAACCTAAGATCTCATGCACGAAAAACAAGCCCCGTCTATTAAGTTGGACCCCCCCACTCAAACTTGGCTTCTTCAAGGCCATATGGCAAGAAGTTGACAGAGGTGGAACTGGAACCCGGGGACCTAACTTTGAAATTATTTAATAAGTACTGCACACCTAACCTCCTGGGTCAGGAAGTGGAGAGGGAGGACTCCCTGCCCACAGAGCCCAAGCCCATTCAGGTCCAGCCTGTACCCCTGCTCCTTTGCTTTGGGCTGGCCTTAGACGGGACCCACATTTCAGAGCACTCACTCTCTGTTCTACACAAGAGGCTCAGGGTTGTCATTTCCTTAGTAGACAGGACCTTAAGTTGTGGGGGAAGCCAGCAGGCTTCTCCTGATGAGAACCAGACTTGTGCTGTCCGATGGGATTGTGGGATTCTGTCTGTCTCTTCAAAAACCCTTCCTTCCACAACTGGTCCCTGTTCTGTCAGGATCCCCCCACCACACACACACACACACACACACACACACACACACACACACACACCAGGATTCCTTCCCTCTTCCTGCACGCCAGCCTTCATCTCCCACTCATCAGCCCCTTCTCTGGGTAAGACTGTATAGTTCTATGCTAGCCACACACCCACAGTTGTGGAGCACTTGATATGAGAGTCAGCTGAGACTCTGAATTTTACACTTAATTTAGTTTAAATTAACTCACATGTAAGTTGTAAAACTGCTATGCAGCCAGGCATGGCGACACGGCACATGCCTTGAGTCTCAGGACTCAGGAGGTTGGGGTGAAAGGGTTGCTGCAATTTCTTTGGTCTGCCGAGTGAGTTCCAAGCCAGTCAGGGCTACATCGCGAGACTCCTCAAAAAAAAAGAACAAACAAAAAAGTGATGTACAATTCGATTGTTGGAAAATGTTTATTATATTTAGACCCATTCCGGCATACCTAACTTTTTTTCTCCTTCCTTCCGTTTTTTGACTTATTTTTATTTGGGTGTACATGTATGTCTGTGTGTCTGCCATGTGAGTGCAGTGCCCTCGGAGGCCAGAAGAGGGCATTGGATCCCATGGTGCTAGTTACTAGTGGTTATGATTATGAATCCCCCAATGTGGGTGCTAGGAACTGAACTCTGGAAGAGCAGCAAATGCTCTTAACTGCTGAGCCACCTCTCCAAACCCCTCATTTTTCAGTTTTTGTTTGTTTGAGACATGGTCTCATGTAGCCCAGGCTAGCCTCAAACTCATGATCCTCTTGTCTCTACCTCCTGAGTGCTAGGATGACCAGTGCATGCCACCATGCCCAGCTCTTGAATCTATTTTTTTTTTACTTTTATTGATTCCTTGTAGATTTCACATCATGCATGCTAATCCCAGTTATCTTCCTGTCCCCTTGCATCCACCCTCTGCCCTTGTAATTTCCCCCAAAACAAAACCAACTTTTTTTAAAAACAAAACAAAACAAAACAAAGAAACTAAACAACAACGACAAACAAAAAAATGACAACAAGAAAGAAAAGAAAAAGAGTCTTCCGGAAGCTGTAGTGTGGCCTGTTGAGACACCCAGTTTACCCTCAGTCCATTGTCTTTACTTGCAAGTGTTCATTGCCAGGACCCTTTGGTCTGGTTTCTGCCACACCGTTGACAATGGGCTCTCACTGGGGCTCCTCTCACACATCATGTAGTTGCCATGGATATCCTGCTGTTTTGGATCCGTAGGTTCATTCCCTTCGCAGGCTTCAACAGTTCACAGATGGGGTGGATGTTGGGGTGGACCTGGGTTGGTCAACTCTCTAGAGTTCCCTCATAGTTCACTAGCCATGTGAGCTCTCCAGCACTGCCTCAGCTAGCTCACCCAATGCAGCCTACAGCAAGGAGCTGGGTCAGTTCTCCTGTTCTCAGACCCTCAGATCTGGGTCCACATCACTCATATTGCCAGGGCCAGCTCTACTGTTCTGCCCAGGCAAGGTGCAAGACCCTCTCTTCCAATTGCTGTAGAGGGTGTGAGGAGGGTGGTCAACTCTCCTGCTCTCACACCCTCAGGGCTAGCTTACCTGAGACCCTAACAACAAGGTCAGTTCTAGTGTGCTGCCCCTTAGGGTGCAGGGCCTGATCTCCCGTATGCTGTAGTTGGTGTAGGGCAAGGCTAGTTTTCTCACTCTTTACCTCTCTCTCCTGCCACAGGTAGCAAAGGGTGGAGGGCGGAGGGCATCTTTCCTTCACCCATGCCACCATATAGCAGACGGGGTGGAGGAGGTGGGGAGGCAGGGGCCGGATCAGATCTACTGTTCTCATGTCCAGGGTTCGCTCACACTTCCCAGGTGAGGTGCATGCTTATGGTGACGGGAGGGACCATTTGAATCTAGTTTTTAAACTATTTTTTGTTTGTTGTTGTTTTATTTTGTTTTTTGGTTTTTTGAGACAGGGTTTCTCTGTGTAGCATTGGCTGTCCTGGAACTCACTCTGTAGACCAGGCTGGCCTTGAACTCACCAAGATCTGCCTGCCTCTGCTTCCTAAGTGCTGGGATTAAAGGCATACATTACCACAGCCTGGCTTCTCTAATATTTTTTTATTGACCCATGGTGACATGATACTAGTTTATATGTCATATTAAGTAAAATATATCATTAAAGTATAGTTGGAGTTTTTGGGGGGCTGCCAACCTACTCCCAAATAAAGACATGGAGACTCATTATTAATTATGAATGCTCAGCCTTAGCTTAGGCTTGTCCCACTAGCTCTTTTAACTTAACCTGTTTCTATTTATCTATGTTTTGCCTTGGGGCTTTTTACCTTTCTCTCATTCTGTATGTCCTACTTTTTTGCTTTCTCAGTGGCTGACTGGCTGTACCCCCCCCCCCCCCAGTCTCCCTGTAGTCTTTTTTTTTCTCCCTGAACCTAAATTCCTCCTTCTACTTACTCTTCCTGCCCAGAAGTTCCACCTATACCTCCTCTCTCAGTATTGGCCTCCTCTCTCAAAATTATCTTTTTACTAAACCAAATCAGATGCCTTAGGCAGGCAAGATAAAACAACAACACTTCTTTACATAATTAAACAAATGCAACACATCTTTACATAGTTAAACAAATGCAAATGTAATACATCCTTACATAGTTAAACAAACGCAACATATCTTTGCATAGTTCAACAAATATTCCACACCATTAAAGTTAATTTTACCTGAGGCAGGTATGGTGGCTCAGACCTATAATTGCAGCACCTAGTTGGCAGAGGAAGGAGGATGGTCATAAATTTGGGCGACAGAGTGAGATGCTGTAATCAGGCAAACAAATTGATTTCACTTGATTCTACACTTTAACATGGCCACTGGAAAAAAGTTTTATTACCTATACAGCTGGCATTATATTTCCACTGGACGGCACTTGCCTAAACAGTGAGCCATTAGGCTCAGATCCTGGCTCTGTGCCCTTGAGTTCTGTAGCCAGCCTCTGGGAGAAGAGAAAGGACAGGTGGTTCCTCCCTAGCGGGGCTGCTCAGAGGAACAAGTGAGATGTCTGCAGAGCATCCGTCCTGGTACCTGGCATGCAGTAAGAACTCAGGGCAAAAAATGATTATCGTTGTGATTTTACCAGGACACTCTAAAGTGCAGTTCAGTGGATGTCAGCAGCATCTCTCCAGCCTGCCCAGTGAGGGGGCCCCTGGGGATTTGGCGGAGAACAAGCTTAATAATGTCTCCACTCTCAGGATACTCCCACTCTCCAGTGGGAAGGACAGCCATTGCTAAAAAAAGACCCAGGCTAAGTCAGGTGGCGAGAAAGAAAAACATAGCGGCTTTGGCTGGGATGGCAGGAGTGGAGCGAGGGGGCGGGGAACGCTCCCCTGGGGACAGAGGACTGTTGAGCTCCACCTGATGGTTCAGGAGCCAGCCAGGTGCAGCTCTGAGGGAGAAGTGTGCAGGCAGCAGGCACAGCTGGTGTGCAGGCTACAGAGTCAGCCCCTGCCCCGGCTGTGTGTCCTCCACAGCCCGCCGCCGTCCGCTTCATTGTGATCTTCTTCGCATCCAGTACTGCTGGCCACTGCACGGCCCCCACGTTCATGGAAAACTTGCCAAAGAGCTCCATGCTCCCCGTCTCATCTGTACTTCCGGCTGCCCACCTGATCTCTCCCCTCCTTTTCTTCTCCCCTCCTCTAGGAATTCTCCCCTGATGCTTGCTAACCCTGTTGATCTCTGGCTGGGATTCTTCTAGAAGAGTGAATATTTTGCTCTACATCATCCAAGACACCCACCCTTCCCCCCATCCCTTTTCCTCTTTCTAGGTCAGTCCTGCCTCTCCAACCATCTCGCCCCCTTTCCTCCACCCCCTCCAGTGCTGGGGGCTAGCTAAGCTATTCAACAAGACCTAAGGCTTGCCATATAGCCAGGCTCTGGGGACTCTGAGAGGCAAGTCTGCCGAGGCAGAGTGGAAAATCCCTCCTTGGGGGAAGGGCCGTGGAAATTTCTTCTTCGGGAACTCTTTTCTGACTTGGACTCCCCCACCAGAAATCAGTCAAGCATTTGCCCAGTGACCTGGGAGGTGGCCATGGCTCTTCCTCTCCACCTCCACCCCAGACTGGGATCCAGGGAGGGTGACTGAAGGGAGGTGGGGGAAAAGGAGCAGCCAGTGCAGCCAGCAGTCCAGCCCTGTCTCAGAGTCACTTGGAGATGTCATCCATCCTCTGCGTTCGGAGATGATGAAACAGAGGACAGTGATGAAATCATACAAACCTGCGGGTCCAGGCTCCTGTGTTTCTTGGTTTTCCTCACCTGTAAGACGGAGATAACAGTTGCAGCAACAGCCTTGGAGGGCTGATGATTTGATTTGACTCTCAAGTGGCTGGTAAATTTGAGGGATCTAGCCTCGGCAACCTCAGCTTGCTTCGTCACCCCACGGTTGGCAGAATGCCCAGTTCCCAATCTCTATTCTCTATGTCCCCGCTGCTCACTGTAGACTGTGTCCCTTGTCGTAATTGTTTTGAAACGTGCTGCCCAGGCTGACCTCAATCCCCTGGGCTCAAGCTATTCTCCTGCCTCAGCCTTCTGAGGAGCTGCCATTTTGTTGCTGATGCTGTTATTTTAGACAGGGTCTCACCGTGTAGCCCTGGTAGGCCTAGAATTCACTATGTAGAACAGGCTAGAATCAAACTCTCAGAGATCTGCCTACCTCTGCCTCCTGAGTTCTGGGATTAAAGGTGTGCACCACCACATCCAGCTGTAGCTGCATTTTTAAAATACTTGGTTTTTGTTTGGTGGCGCTGACGATGGGACTCTTGGACTTGTGTGTGCATGCCACGCAAATGCTCTACCATTGAGTTATACCGCCCCCTCCCCCCAGCCTTTTTAAGGCTGGGCCTGGAGCTATATAACCCAGGGTGGCCTTGAATTTAAAATCTTCCTGCCTCTGCTTCCCAAGTATGGGGATACAGGCATGTGTCATCATGCCCCCTTCAAGTAGCTGCCATTTAGAGTGTGGCACAGTCTAATTTGTCTGATCATTTTGTTGCATATACATATAGGTAAGCAACCATTCACTCGCTCATAAATAAATATATAAATAAGCAAGCCCAAAATCACCAACCCAAGATCAAGACAATTTGCCCCTGTGTTTTCCTCTTAGAGTTTTATACAGTTAGCTCTTCTCTTTAGGCCTATAGTCTACTTTGAATAAAAATTTTACTTTTGTTCTTTTTTTTTTAGACAGGATGTCTCTGTGTAGCCC